TACTGGGGTGTCACTCTGCAGGCACAAGGAGTTGCTTCCAGACAGAGAAAGAGAAGTACAGGGCAGGAACCGGGGAGACAGGGGCAGCGGCACGGGCGGGACGGGACAGAGAAGCCCAGCAAGCGTTGCTCCTGTGACCGGGAAGAGGCGGGGAGACAGGACTGACTCCTCAGGTGGCGGAAAGCGGCAAGTGGCGGCAGGGGTCATCTGCAGCCTGTGCGAGGGGGCGCCCCCAGACCCTGCTGCCCAGTGCCCAAGCAAGCCCTTGCCAGTGAGAGCAGAAACAGAGCCGGGAGAGAGACAGCTACACATTGAACTTGGAGGAGGCAGATTCTTAATTTGCTCTTAATAGAACTCTGTGTTGCATCACTTACACTTACATTTATGAATTTAAATGGAAAATGCTAAAAAAAAAAAATCAGATGTGCAGTGTTAAAAATTCAGATTCCTAGGCAGGTAGGGTGGATGTCAACCTGGTCAGCTTAGGGTCGCTGTGGAGACTGACAGAGCTCACCTCTGGGTGTGTCTGGGAGTCATGGAGCCGCGTCCTTGGGGTCTGTATCTGGTCCCTGGTCTCTTCCTCCTCCTCATGGCCCGCTTCCCTGCTCTACTTCCCTGCGGACATGAACTGCCTCAAAGGCCAGCTTTATTCCTCCACACCATTCCCCATGATGCTTCTGCCTTGGAGGCAGCTGGCCATGAACCAAATCCTCTTAAAATATGAGCCATATTAAGCCTCGCCTCCTTTTAAGTCGTGGGTCTGGGTGCTGTATGTCAGCTGACCCATACCCAGGCTCTGCCTCCTGAAGGAGTCTCTGAACGCACCGGGCCACTGCATGCATGCCCAAGTACAGGTGACTGTCACCAGCAGTGGGAGGGGCCTGTCTTCTGACTCAGGACCCAGGAATGCCACAGGTCACTGCAACAGCGTGAGGCATGGGATCGTCACCTCCGAGCATGTGACTCCTGCAGAGCCCCAGAATATTATAAGCCTATGTCCTCCCCGTCACCAGGCTTCTGCTCTCATGGACAGGTGCCAGGGACATCACTGCCCACTGGACGCTGACACCAGGTGCCTGGTGTGGCTGTCATGCCATGCTAGGGACTCTGGCCCACCTGCTCACTTTGTCTTTCCTGCCCTGGAGAAGAGGATGGGGGAGGCGGGAGGGAGAGGTCTCCCGAGCTCGTGCTCTGTGCCTCAGTCTCCCCAGCCTGGGGCTCCTCTAGAACTCTGTGTGGAAAGCCCTTTGTACAGCATCTGGGCCGGAAGCAGGGAGAGCCCCTGGGCTCCGGGCCAGGGGATTTGTGGGGTTAAGAGCACAAGTTGACAGCAGAGGGCAACAGGGTGGCATCCGCTCCCCCTTCGCCCTTGCTGCAGAAGGACAGATGGCCACGCCTCGGGCAGGGCGCCGGGAGCCACATCTCCCTGCTCTGCAGCCTTCCCCACTTCTGTGACCCTGCACTGTGTAAAGCCTGAGCCTGTCCCGACCCCCTCCCAGGCCCGCGTCACAGTGACCACCCAAGACAGAGACCTGTGTGGCCCTGTGCTAGTCCAGGGCTGGTCCTACTGTCCACGTGTCCAAGCTCTGAGCTGCACAAGGCCACAGAGCAGGTGGAAAGCTGGAGACGGCCACATGTCAGGCCCTGAACTGGAGGACGTCCTCGGAGTTGGCCCAGCTTCACAGATGCCAGCGTGCTGGCCGGGGGAGGGGACGGTGCCCATCCAGCTGTGAGGGGCGTGGGGCTCATGTTGCCACATGGACCTGGAGCACATAGTACAACCTAGGCAGCCTTGGGCTCTCTGTCCTGCTTGGCAAGAGGACAGTCCAGGATGTCCAGGTCCCCCTGCAGGACAGAGCTCTTCCCAGGCCCCTCGTGACAAGGACACAGGACTGTCACTAGACTGTCCCCGAGGGTGACCCCTTTCCAGGGACAGGGAGCCGCGGGCCACCTGCAACCAGTGGGCAGCATGGCCATGCCCTGAGGACGCTGTCACCTTGCAGACTCCAGAGGGCGCTGGAACCACCGAACCCGAAGGCCTGTGGGAAGGTTAGGGTGGCACCAGAGAGACCAAGGGCTTGGGTTTGCTTGGTAAATGCCACCCCCCACCCACTCAAAGAGGCAGAGATGGCACTGACTCAGGCGACAACAGCAGGACTGATTGTGACCCAAGAGAACCTCACGAACAAGCAAGCAAAGCTGGGCCTCTGGCATGGCAGTGCACACCTGTGATCCCAGCACTCTACAAGGCTGAGGCAGCTGGGTTGTGAGTTCAAGCCTATCCTGGGCAATTCATCCACTTAGTGAGATCTTGTCTCCAAATAAAAAGTAAAAAGAAAATAAAAAAGGGGGCTGGAGATGCTGCCCAGTGCAGAGGCCCAGTGCAGTGAGTTCAATCCCTTTACCTCGAACAACAAAACTAAACCAGAGTGTGGCCAGAGGGGAAACATGTTTAGTTCAGTTCTGAAGCTTTAAAAACAAAATCTCCTGGGGAAGGGAAGAGCCCTACTTACTTCTTTTTTGGCATCTACCTGCTGTCCAAGATGAATCTCCAGCAATAATGTTGGCCGGTGTAAATTGGGTCCCCGTTACTGAGCTCCTCAGGGGGCCTCAAACATGGGAGTTTCTCTAGCTCATTCACCCCGAGTCTCTGATCTGCATTAGCGGCACTGCCGTCAGGGTGACAATGGTGCCGCCACCTCCCTGAGCTGTTGAGCTGTCTGTGCCGTGCCGGCAGCCAGGGCTGTGCCACTCCCACACCCTGGGCCTGTCCTGTGTGTGCTGGCCCTGCTCTGCGCTCCCCACACCCTTTCTCGGGTCCCAGCAGGGTCCCCTTGCTAGAGCCTGAAGCAGAGGCTCCGAGTCCCACTGACCTTGAGGCTGCAGGCGTCACCACGTCCTGCTGGTCGCTCGCACAGCCAAGAAGTGTCAGGGGAGCTGCCCGGGGCTGCAGGAGGCCGGCGCTGGGCGGGGCCCGGGGACATGAGGCCAATCCTGGGCCACCTGGTTCCACCCTGGCTCCCCCAGCAGTGCCCTTGAAGGCACTGGCCCCGGGTCGTGGGCCTTCCTAGCACCCACCCCTTCTCTGAACCATCTCCTGGCCCATGAGGAGACAAGCAGGCCTCTGCTGGTCTCAGACCTGGCTGGGCTGCCCGGGCCAGGACCAGAGGCAGGGTCCCCAGAGAAACTGCACTTCGGGGTCCTTGCTTCTCCCTCCTCCCAGGAGCACAGCCTTGGGGCCCCGTCTCTGGAGAGTGAACTCCTCAAGCCACGGTCAGAGAGGAGGAAGCCACCTGGCCAGGGCTAGAGAAACATCCTTCCAACTCACGGTCTGGGGCCTGAGTGACTCAGGGATGGTGACAGTGTCGTTCCAGTCTAGACCAGGTGCCCAGGATGAGTTGCTTTCTCTGCACTCGAGTTTAGCCCACCACCCAGAAGGCCTGCAGGCCACCTCTGTGCTTAAAAATAGCCCTCCCCAGTACATCTCTGCCAACCGGAAAGGTTGGCTGCAAATAGCAGTGACCCGCCAGGACTCTGGACAGCGGCCCGGCCCTCTGGAAAGGGGAGCCTGCCAGGGCTGCTGGCCGGGGTCACCACCACTTCTGGGGCCACACAAATGTCACCAGCTCACTCCTGTCTCCAGGCCCAGCCAGGCTGGAGGGTGTGGTGGAGCAGGGGTTTCCCAAGGAGAAACAAAGATTGGTTTAAAAAAAGGAGATAAGGAGAATTGGAATTTTAAAATTGCACTTTTAGGGCAGGAGCCCAGTTTAGCTTTTTTTCCTCTTTTCCCAAGAGCCAGTGAGCCCAAGCAGCTTCACATCACCCAGGCCTTCTCGCCTGGGAACAGACCACCTCTTCCCACCTGCCTGCAAGGTAGCAGCGACGTCAGTGGGCCGCAGATCTCAACTTGAAACAGGTGGGGATGGTCCGCACTCTGACACAGCCTGCTAGACGGCTGAGCCGGCCCTCAGGAGCGGCACACGCTGAGAGGGCTGCTGTGGAAAGCACGTGAATGGATGAAGAAGCACCCCGCGGGTTACTGGCGCACAGTCGTGGGGGCGCCTGCGGATGACTGACACATAGCAGGGAAGACCCGCCCAGATGTGCATGGCAACACCCAATAGGCGTGTAGCCTCGGCAGGAGAAAGAGGGAAACCGGAAGGAAGTCTGCCCTGGGCTTCTTCTGAGGGGCTCCATCTTGCCCTGGCCTTTGGATGTTCATCTCCAGCTCCCCAGAAATCCAGTGCAAACCCTTCAGATTTCCAGTGAGGACTCGCACCTACTCCGCGTGAGCTCCAGGCCTTCGACTTTAAGAGCACAGATGGATCACCCATCTTGATGTCACCCAAGCCCTGTAAATATACCCAGCCCCACACCAGAGGGCCTCTTTCTCTTGAGGGTCTGCACTCTGCTTCGAGGTCTGCATTCTGCTTCTCTGAGTGCATACTTTTTAAATCTCGGCCTAATAAATCCCTTTATGCCTCTTACTGATGCGTCCTGAAAGTCCTTTTCCCTGAGGAGCCTGTGAGCCTGAAACTTAACTCTACAAGAAGCGTGGGTTTAGGAGCCTACAAGGACCCTGCCTGGTGACAAAACCAGGAGAGGGAAGCGGACTGGGTAGGAGGTCCCCTTCTTGAGGCCATGCCTGTGCCCAGCAGTGTCCCCAGCCACCCTCACATTCGGACCACTTCCTCCACCTGACAAATGTAAAGACACCCTCGTCCACATCCACCCACTGAACTGTTTCATGGTCCCAGGGATACACAGGAACCTTGCTTTACACCTGAGGACCAGTTTCAGAGATTCAGTACCACCACGGAACGAGATTATGGGATCTCTGCTCCCTCCAGTTCTCTGCGATTTTCCTGCCTGCCACCTTGGGTCCTCTAATGTTTTCCCTATGAATTTCAAAAGGAAAAGGACACCTGAAGGAGCCCACTGCTGTGAAGCAGACGATGCAGAGAAATGTGAGAAGGGCTAAATGAAGCAGCCAGCAGATCTCCAAGCATCCAAAAAGGCCAAGTTTATTTTGCATATAGGCGTCACCTCCACCTGCAAGTGCCCGACACAGCACAAACCCCTCGGTTAGAATTGCAGATGTCGCAGATCTTCTTCAAGCAACTGGACGCAAACGGTATGCTTCATACGCACACACATACACACACACACGAATAATAAAGAATTCTGTTCAACTGCTCTGCCAAGGAGAGCCGAGGATGACACGAGGTGACCTCCCGCGCAGACAGCATGTTACAGTTTACAGTCCACAGCACCCTGTGAGGTAGCAGCACAGCAATTACTCTCAACCCCTTTTTGCAAATGACAACGCTGAGGCTCAGAAAGGTAGAGAGACTGGCCTAACGCTGCCCAGCTCATGGGTGTGAATCCAGGCTAGGACCCAATTTACAGGTGCCCAGTTCTCTACTCTTGTAGCAGTTTTCTGGACAAACGCTAAATGAGAATGGAAAACACACAGCTTTGACATCATCACATCCAATTATTCAAGCAGATGAGACCAGGGGCGGTTAACCCTGGGATCCTTTATTACCGTAATCCTGAGAGGCAGCTGAGATGAACGCTTTTCTGATTGCTTGTGTTTATACTTCCGGCAACAGACTATTTTCCGCTTTCACCTGCTGTGCATTAATTTTACATCACCAAGGGTCAGTGGTGTCGATATCCAGCCCTTACTGAACCTTACAAACTCATTTATAACATGACTGTCATTCACTGATTTTTCACTATGCATATCAGCCTGACATAAATAGAATGTTACCTTTTTCCCATTCCAATAGTAGTAAAAAAATTTTTTTGCCCTTTGGATAAAAGAAACCTTACACTTCAAAATGAAGAGACTCTTTCAGGGGAAATAAGACCAGACTTTGAAAGGAAACACTACAATAACATGGTTTGCTCTTAACTCAAGTTAACTGCACTGTGGGTAGCCTCTCTCTTGCAACCCTTTTTGGTTAAGAGTTTCAAGGTTGCCCCCTGGCTGGCCAGAGATCCTGTCCCACCACATAATGGGACAGCAGAGGCAGCCCCATCGTTCCACATGGGCACACGCAGGGTTTTGTGCTTCTGAGGTAACCAGTATCCACAACCTTCACTTGTTCATAAGGAATACTTTCAGGTGCACTGAAACTGAGCAGACAGCTGCTGGGTCTGTGTGGGAGCCCCTTCTCAGCACTGCTGCAGCAGGTTCAACATTCCCGCTTTACTTCCTTCAGCGGGAACACTGAAGGAAACATGACCTTCTGCTTCCTGCCTGAATCTGTCAAATAGAATACCGGCTTAGGCAAAGATCTGTCCTTACGGTAAAACCGGATGTCTTCATTCAGAACCCAAGACATCCCCTCAAACCGTCCAGGTGATCCACTGACAGTACAAAATGGGGGTATTCACGTGAAAGCATGAAGTTGGATTTTACTTCTGAACCCAGGCTCACTCCCTGGCTGTTAGAGGCTGACCTCTGCTCACTCTTAGAAATGGTCTCCCAGAATGGAATCTGAGTAGACAGAGCCGTGCGCACGCGCTCGTGTCCCGGCAGACACGCACCGCTGGAATGAGAACTGGACACGGACTTTAACATCAGAAGAGACACACACATTGCTCTGGGGGTTTCCAATGTGAGGAAATTGAGTTTATTTGTTTGCTAACTCTCAGCTGGCCCACAGTGGTGCAGACCATCGGGGGACTCCCTGGGAAGTGGAGTTCTCCGTACTTCAGCTGTGGGAAGCAGAAGCAGTGACCTGGAAACCGCTGGATGTTCCAAGTCAGCACAACAATTAGCAGTGCCCACGGATGACCACTCGGGGGCGCGTCCTACACTCTACAGGAATAGGCTCCAAGGCTTTCTCCCTAGTGGGAAGAGCTGCGCTCCAGAAGGGGAGAAGGACTGGAAATTTCTCCATCTGTTACTTTTTCTTAAGAAGCTGGCTGCAATGCCTCTGGGACATTTGGGTCAGAGGAATAAGAGTCCAAACCTCCAAGGAAAGTGGACAGAGTCACATCTTCCATCTGGAGGGCCACAGGACGCCACAGCAGAGAGGATGGCTTCACCCGAACTAGGAAGTGCCTGGTCCTCTCCTGGATGGGTCCTGCTTCTAGCCCACCTTCCAAGGCTGTATTCTGGAGCCAAGAGAGCTCACCTGTACTTTCCTCCTCTTTGGCAAGACCTGGAGGTGTGTGGTGCCATCGACACACGTTATTTCAAGCCCTCAGCTTCTGAGCAGAGGAATAAGCCAGGAAGATGAGCATTAGAATCCAAGAGCCCATGCTGCCCTTCATGCATGGAGATAGGTCAGCCTCTTACTTAAAACTAAAGAGAACGAACAAGCAACATTCTTTAAAAAAGAAAAATAGAGCATCCATAAGGAAGCCTCCTCAGGCTCAATGCTCTGCTGTTATGAGCTATGGAAAAGATTTTTGGGGTGGTCTTTGCGGATGATGATTTCTTCTACTTAGTTGCTGCTTCACTATCGGATTCTGTCCAACAGCCCTGGCCGTGCAGAAAGCTGCCTGCTCTGCTTCCATGGTATGTTATCTGACCAACTCTGCCAGTGGGCCCTAAGAGCCAGCCGGGAGGATTTATTAGCCAGCTGTGAACCACATAACTGAAGTGCACAGAAAGAGCAAAAATAGCCAGACAGATGGAGTCTTCATTGTCAGCATCAGTAAGCTTCATGCCTCTAAAAGAAAGGGTCAGGTTCAGTGGGCTCCAGGGGTACAATGTGATACAGTTTTCTCTTCTGCATGGCAGCAGCAGTCACCCTGAGAAAAGAGGAGGGAGGTAAACTGGGAGACAGCCCTATTTCCTCCATGCTGCCGTCTTGAGGAAAGCGAGCTCCCTCCTCAGCCCCTGGTAGCAAGACCAGGCCCTGTTTTCTGCTGGCAGAACCGTGGGTGGGGGATCCGCTTCCCCTGCGCTGACACTGGAATGATCTAAAAGCATTTTCACAGGGGGGCGGAGCTGTCTACCAGCAGCATACAGCAGCATGGATTTTCAAAAGAAAATCCCACAAGACGGCTTTTTAAAAACACCACCAATGTTTGTAGCAAGCCTATGTGTCACCAGAAAGAGCCCCACAGGACTTCGGGGGAAAGAATCAAGCCAAGCAGGGTGCAGAGGTGCTTTTTGCTGTGTATTGTCACAGAGCAGGAAGCCCTTTCTTGCCATAGTGCTTCGTGGCCTCCATCGTCTTTAGTTCTGTCCGTGAGGGGCGGTGCAGCCGCCTGCAAACCTGTCTGAGGAGGTGGCTTCTCGGGGTCGCCAGTCTCAGAAAGCGGTCCCCTCACACACTCCAAGAGACCCCCTGGCTGGGGCCCTCTGCTTCTTTTAAGGAAATGCTGCCAACAAATGCACTTGGGTCTCACGATTTCTTTCTTGTCCTGCTGTCGGGTCACACTACTCCTCCGACGTGACAATTCACCATGCACATGCTACACATGGACACTGTGGTGTGCTGGCACCAGGGAGGGTGCTTATGACCACGGGGAACAGAAGCAGTTAAATCCTAGGAGATCGCGGGTGCATTCTGGCCAGTCAAGTGCCATCAGGTGTGTTCTGTGGGTCCTTGACCCCAAGTCCTCACCGAACGTGGGACAGAGGGAAATCTACCTTCTTATGTACAACATCCTCCTCTCACTCTCCCATAAGTAAAATGTGCTGTATTTGCGCCGACCTTTGTCCCTTCCCATCCAAGGTGGAAGTGCCTGTCTTTGACCCACACAGCTGGGTTTTGCTCTGGCTCAGACAGAATTCAGTCTGGTTCCATCTTCTTTGCTGGAGAGAGGAGCCTGGCTTCATCTCCCTGTCCCCTGTGCACGGTGTGACAGGTGGCATGCACGATCCCATCTGTCCCACTATCCGTGGGGGCAACACCAAGATCTTGGGGAAGGGCCAGGTCTTCAAGCAGGGAGTCGAGGTTCAATCTTTAGTGAGAGCTCATAGAGCGTATCTTCATCAATGATGAGGGCTTTATCAAGCAAGTACTGTGTGACCTGAAAGAAAGAAACCCCAGCAACATTCTGTGAATGGAATTTGGTACAATTTGACGTGTTTCCCTACACATTTTAAATAGTTTATGTAACTAAGGAAAACATCAGTGTTGTGCTAATAAGCTTAATTATCAAGTTGGTTTGGGAGCCACGCGGGGGATTGTTTGAGCTCACTTCTGTGTGTGTCTGGGGGTCCGGGAGCTGTGGCCTTGGGGTCTGTGTGTGGTCCCTCACCCCTTCTTCTCTGGCACTCATTTCTTGCTCTGCTTCCCTCCACTATGAACTGAGCAGCTTTGTTCCACCACACCCTTCCACCATGATGTTCCTGCTTTGGACCCAGCCCCATGAACTAAATCCTCTGAAACCATGAACCAATTAAACCATTTCCTCCTTTAAATTGTGGAGGTCAAGTACTGTCTTCCAGTAACATGAAAGGTGACTAACACAAATATATTCTCATTGGAAAACAACAACAACAAGTATCTCTAGTCTCCTCTTAACCCCAGCCTCAGGTAAGACCTATTACAGCTTTTATCTAGATATCCCCCCAAACCTCATGCACTCATGCCTTTGGGGAGTGACTGGATCATAGGTGTGTGACACTGGGTCAGGAAGGGGTGCTGGATCATAGGTGTGATACTGGACTGGTCCACTGATGTGATGTTGGGAGGTGAAACCCGGTGGGAGGAGGTGAATTACTGCGGGCGTGGCCTGGAATTCCCACTGCCTTGAACACTTGCTGCCATGCCATGAACTCTTTCTCCTCCATTATGCTGCCCTGCCTTGGAGCCAGCTGACTATGGACTGAAACTTCTACGAACCATGAGCCAAAATAACCCTCTCCTCTTTTAAATTTGAGGACATCGGGTGTTGTGTCTCAGCACCAAGAAAGTAACTAAGGTATGACCCATAAGGAGCTTGGCTATGGTCATGTGTTGTGTACCCCCTCTGATGTTTGTCTACGTCTTTATGGATAGTATGTGTCTTCCATTTGCCCTTATAATGGTAAGCGGCATGTTACCGTACACTGCATTCCTCATTCCCCCCTCCACTAAGTTCTGGGGCGCTCCATATCAGCCCACAGCATGCTGGCTGCCATACAGTGTCGACAGTTATTGATACTCATCTTGAGGAATCGCGTGTGGAAAGATAATAAGCAGACGTCAAGATGTCCCTGTTACACAATGACAGAGAAGTCCCTGAGATGCATTTCATACTGCTCATGTGTCAGTGTCCCACCCAGGTGGGCACCAGAAAGGAGATAAAAGGAAAGAACACCTGGAGAATGCTGGGGGACAGGGTGTTTCCAGGAAAGCATTTCCTTATATTTGTTGAAATCTAACGTATGTCTATAATTGAAATGAGTAGTTTGATCAGTTTTGAGAACATAACCCCAAGTCACATACATAGATACATATGATGAAGAGCCACCCATTACCCTAAAAGTTCCCTCATGCAAGGTCCTGGTCATCTGCTCCGAGAACATCAGCTGCTTTAATCGTGTGACTGGACAGCTTCATGTACATGGAATCACGCAGTAGACACAGCTTTCTGTTGGGCTTTTCACTCAGCACAGATGTTCAGAGACACCCAAGCAGGCACATGGATCACCAGCTGTCTGTGTCATTACTAAGGAGCAGCGACCCAAGTGTGGAGACAGACCCCGGTTCATTTGTCCTTTCTTCTGCTGATGGGTACCTGAGCTGTTTCTAACTTTGGCTATTATTTAAAAATATTCTGAACATTTTATACCAGGCTTTTAATAGGCATTTGCATTCATTCTCTGGAGAGAACTTGCTGGATTGTAAGACAGAGGCATAGTTAACACTTTAAGAAGCTCCCAGTGTCAGTTTTAAAGTGGTCGTGCCACCTTACTGTCACTGACAATTTATATGTGAGTGCTGGTTGTTCAGTATACAATGTTGAATTTTAAAAATAATGTAGAATGATCTCCAAAGCTCCTTATCCTGTAGTACATAAGAAAACCTGTTTTCCTGTATCCTAACTCATCTTTGATATTATCAATCTTTTGAAGTTTTGTTAATCTGGAAAGTGATAATGATGCTTCATAAATTGTACTTCTTTCTCCTTGTTGGTGAGATTGAGCATTTTTCAAGTATTTATTGGTGATTTATATTTCTTCTGTGAACTAACTGTTCACAGAATTACCACCATTTCTATTGCTTATGCCTTGTTATACATTTATAGGAATGCTTCTATTTTCCTCTACATGTTGGAAAATATTGTCTCCTACTCTACTGTTTGTATTTTGACTTTTTAAATAATTTCCCATTGTCGTGCAGAAGTTTTTAATTTTTTCACATAGCAAACTTTATCAAGTTTGTCTCTTTAGCTTTTGCATTTTGTAGTTAAGATCTTTTGAATCCCCAAAGATCCTGGATATTTTATCCTATATTTTATTCAAATAGCATACATATTTCATTTATGTTATGTTTAGGTAATAAGTTCATCTGGAGCTTATTTTTGTGGACAGTATAAGATGAAGAGCCAACTTCCTGTTGTATTTATGGAATAGTCAGTTTCTCTCTAGCACTTTCCACAAATGTAGTTTCTGTCCCATATTAAATTTTCAACTAGACAAAATCTGTATCTGGACCCTGTTCTGCTCCACTGAATTTGTATTGGGACAGGAAGTTCTCTTGATTTGCTCTTACAACTTTAGGATAGCTGGTGGGCTAAGTTCTAATTTTTCAAGTTCTTGTCTGTTTTTTTCTCTCTACAGTTCCTTATGAAATTCAGGGTGCTTGTCAAGTTGCATGAAAAATCTTGTTGGATTTCAGTTAGGATTTCAATGAACTTGTAAATTAATGTGAGGATGATGGACACCTTTATGAGCACAAGACTTCTGGCTCATGAATATGACCTGGCTGGCTGTTGAATCAGTTCCTGCTTTATATACTTCAGTTCATACATGTCTTATATACTTTTTGTTCTGCTTAATCCTAAGCAATATAAGCTTTATTGTTAGCTTGAGTGAGATCTTCAATATTTCATTTCAATTGGACATTACCAAAGTAATAAAAATCGCTGCTTTTTATACATGATGTTGCTATGTTCCCTTAGCATTTAAGAGTTTTCCCTTGGATTTTCTAGGTAGCTGGAGAAAACATCTGGAAATTAAAGTCCTTACTCTTACCTTACACAAAGTCAAATTTGTGTAACTTTCACTTCTTTTTATTGCTTCATTGCAATGGCTATTTTTTTGAATTTGAAACTGAACAGTAACAGTGAAAACCTTGGGGCTTTTCTTTTCCTGATTTGGGTTAATTGATCAAGAAACACGTATGATGTACCATGCTCCAGCAGTGTGCAGGACGCTGGGGGTCTCATCATAAGCACACAGTCATGGCTCTGTGCCTCAGTGGTGTCATGCACTTGGGTCACAGAGGGACATAAATGGTTCAGGACACATACATGTATTTCTGTGCTCTGTCAGCCAAGACAGCTACAAGAAACAATACCCACAAGGAGCACACCTAGAGACTGTGCCTTGGCTTCTAATGCTATTTACCAATGAAAAGAGTTGGAGCTCTGGAGAGGAATACCTGATTCTAGGACTGGGGCCAGAAATATACAAGCTGAACCTAGAGCAACTCCAAGTTGCAGAAAACAAGCAAGTCCTTAAAAAAGTAAAGAAAAAGAGAGAAGCCCACTCTATGGGGTCAGTTCCAAGGAGTCAACTGACAGCACCCAGGGCCAAATGTGGAAGGATTTCAGCCAATTAAAACGCTTCCCTTCAAGAGACAACCTGGAAAATCTGGAAAAAATGTTTGCAGTTGTTCCTCAAAGGATTACTACCAAGAAAATATAAAGAACTCACAAAAATCAGACCTCCCAGATTTGAAGATCCAACCCAGAAATGGGCATCTGAGATGAATACACACAGCAAATAAATACATGAAGAAATGTTGAACATCAATTAATGCAAATTAAAACAACACTGAGATTCTATCTCACCCCAGAAAGAATGGCTATCATCAAGAAATCAACCAACAACAAATTCTGGAGGAGCAGGGTGGAAAAAGGAACTCTTCTCCACTACTGATGGGAGTGTAGACTGGTGCAACCACTGTGGAAATTAGTGTGAATATTTCTCAACTAGAATTAGAGGTCCTATTTGACCCAGCTATTCCTCTTCTGTATCTGGACCCTGTTCTGCTCCACTGAATTTGTATTGGGACAGGAAGTATTTTCCCAATGTATTTTCCCAGGAGAATTAAAAATATCACACCACAGTGATATATGTGCACCTATGTTTATAGCAGCACAATTTGTCATAGCAAAATCTTGGAAACAACCCAAATGCCCAACAATCAAGGAATGGATAAAAAAAGATGTGTTTTTTAAAATACAGTGGACTATTACTCAGCCATAAACAAGGATAAACTGAGACTTTTATGGATAAATGAATACAACTTGAGTCCATACTCGTAAGTGAAATAAATAAGACTCACATGTGTAAGCACTGTATTGTCTCCCTAGTGTGAGAAGATGGCAGAGTTCATAAAAAAATAGTCATGTTAGCCTTCCAAAGCTTTTCTTCCTTTTCAAAATTGTTTTACTGATTTCAGTGAAATAATTTTCAGATTTTCATATTAATTTCAGAAAAGCCTGACAATTAAAAAACAAAACAAAACTGGAATTTTCATTAGAATTAGATTATTAGATCAGTTTTTGGAAAACTGTCATCTTCAAGTATTTCACCTTAAGATGTTTCTTGAAATCTTTAATTCTCTGTAATGTTTCCTATTCTGTACATAGGCCCTGTAAACTTTGTGGTGAGATGTATCACTATTTTATATTTTAATACTCTTATAACTGATGTCTTTTGTTTTTGTCTGTCACCATGAAGTGGACATCCAGTTGCTTTTCAATAAACATTTATGGATTTTTAAAACCCGCTTCCTTTCTGTGGAGGGGATGTTTGTTATCCACTTTGCTCCTCAGAAAGTGCCATCCAGTGCAGGTCTTGCACTCTGTGCGCACACTGGGGGAGCGGAGATGGAGACAGAGGAAGGGGTGGATTTCCAGGAAAGGTAGCATGTAAGATTAACAGACCATGGCCATCAGTTGGTGTTCTTTCTGCTTTCCTTCCTGTTTCCTTGGTCAGACTTGCTAAAGATTTCTATCATACTGGTCCCTTCTATGAGACAGCTGTTGGTATTCCTGATAAATTATATTATTTTCTTATTCATTGACTTCCACTTTTTCTTTATTAATTCTCTCATATCTGCACAACATTACCTTCGGCTGATGGTCTATGCGGTAGGACGTCTGCTGGAACTGGCGTATCTCTCGGATGATGTGTGATATCTACCAGAAACAGAGATAACAGGCAAAGCAGAGGTGTTTCCCTGGATTGGACCACCTTATTTTCCTGGCATCCCCCAGGTCCCTTCCTCTAGGACTGCCCGTTCCCTGGGCCTGGTGTGCTTGCCCTTCAGGGAACTATGGGACATGCCAAAGAGCGCCAGAGGCAGCTGGCACTGCTGCCCCGGATTTGCATGGTGTGAGGTCAGGGGTGCCTGTCCAAGGCTGGCTGCCTCGCAAGAAGCCCTCAGCCTCTGCCCACCATGGCTCAGTCTTACACTTTCCAGGAGCTTTATTCCCTCTCCCCTGGCCCAGACCCAATGTGGAAATGAGTCCCTCCCAAATCTCCCGCAGCCAGCAGTAGACACTGGACCCAGTCTCCACCATGTCCACCACCTCACCCCTTCCCTCTTCTCTGTCACCTGTGATAGTCACAGACAGAGGCCAATGATGAAGTCATCACCTACCATCCTCATTTTGGAGAAGTTGACAAGGCCTTCTTCAGTGAAGTTTGGTGTTCCCTCTTCAATAAACGCCAGGTCTGTCAAGTACATCCCGAGATAAGGAACTGCCGGGGGGTTACAACTGCAAAACCAAGAAGCAGGGCTCTCATAGCAGTCACAGAGATGTCTGCTTCCTCTCTAGTTCATACAATAAGCTGCTGTGCTACCTCAGTCCTGCAGACAAAGACTTCCTACTTCATTGTCAGAAGCATACTCACGATATGAAGAACTGTAAATGTATTCCACAGTGGAAAACAATACAATACAAAATATGGCCATGCTTTCCTCTGTGCTTGAGACAATACTATATTCCAACAGGAGGATGTGGGAACAAATATAAAATACTTGCCAGCAGAAATTGTTTGCAGTACATGGCAAGTGGCCAGACTGCTTTGAGAAGTAGAAACACTGTTATAGTTTATACCCAGCTGTCCCCTTAAAGCCTCATGTGATCACAGAAGGGGCTGTGGAAGATGGCTGGACTCGAGCTCACAGCTGACTGGCTGCTAGGAGTGGGATCTGGCTGGAGGAGACAGTCACTGTGGGCGTGGCCTTGGAGGAGATGGTCCCTGTGGACATGGCCTAGCGGGGTTCATCTCCCTCCTGGCTCTTCCCTTGCTCTTTGCTTCCTGTCTACCATGCTGTGAGCTCTCCTCTACCCTTCCCTGTGCTGTACTGTCTTGCCTTGCAGGCAGCAGACCATAGATGTAACCATGAGCCAACATAAACCTGTCCTATCAGTCGTGGGTGTCAGGTTCTGTGTGTTGGTGATGAGGAAGCAACTAAGACAAGCCTGCAGGAAAGGCCTTCTGCCCTCACCTCACGAAAGTACAACTGGTGGAAAACTCAGTGTGGTTAGAGCTTTGCACCACAGTCGGTCTGTTTCCTGTTGTAGTACTTTGGTATCTTAGGAGGACCAGGCTTTTAACACCCTAATTGCACAGCTAAAGGAGACGCTGGCCTGGTTTTGGAGGGGAGGGAGAATGCTTGGTCTTCCCCAAGAGCATGGGCTTTCTACACACAAAGAACGGGGCTGGATTCCAGCCTGATCCACTACTCAGTGCTACTGGGAAGACTCTGGCTGCAGTTCTCTCATCTGCAAAGTGGAGCCAGGAAAGATTATCTCCTCAGTGTCCCATGAGGCTTACAAAAGACTCACCGAGTACTTAGCACAGCGGCTGTCGGTTAGTAGTCAGCAAAGAGCATCCACGCTAGCATCACTATGGTTGCTACTATTAGTTTTACCATTATTAATGTTTCCTTCCCTCACCCCCTTGCAAGACTAGTGCTTTTCCAGAATAAGTATAGGTCATGTGGCGGATAGGGAGGGAAGAGTTGCAGGAGAATAGATTCTACGCTGTGGAGGTAAGCGAGTAGGTGGGTGGAGAGAGACAGACAGAGAGGAAGAGAGAGAGGGAGAGGGAGAGGGAGAGGGAGAGGATCCAGAAATACAAGGCCCAAAATAAACAACGATAATCAATAAGTGCTAGAATATTTAAGTGAAAAATATCACAGGAAGTCATTGTGCTTAGGCTCAGAAATACTGAAGCAAGAAACCTTTCACACTGCAACACAATTTGACTCATTCTGTGCTATTTTCTTCTCATCTGGAATACTCTGCATAACATGAGCACATACATAAGGAGCTTACTGCATGCGCAGTATTTTAAGAGAAAAGGGAACTCCAAACACCCCGGTGATGGGAGTTGTTTCTGTTTGCTTTTCTTTTCCAGCAATGAAGAGGTAGGTCCCCGTGTATCTAGTATAAGAATACAAAAATCATTTAGAAATCAGGCTAGACCTACTTTTTAAGGGTTTCTCTGAGATTTTTAAATCTTCCTTCGGATGAAACAGTCTTCTGAAGTTTGTCCATCAGAGCTTTTGTCTAAAACAGAGAAGAAAACCTTAGTTTGTCATGGGAATACATGGTCTCACCGGGTAGCGAGTTACCAAAAGATGCTGGGTCCCCTGGCGCCACGGCAAACGCCGGGGCGGTACTGAGCAGAGGGTGTGGTGTGATGGCCCCACCGTGCAGGGGCAAAGCCTCATGCTGACCTTCAGTGCTGAAAGAGAAAGAGAGCAGGTGGGGAAGAAGCGCCCTCAGCCACAGGCAGAGGCAAGCGTGCAGAGGAGAAGCACCGCCATGGGCGCAGAAAGCTGGGAACGTGGGGAACTGGAGCGCATGCGCTGAGCTGAGCCCTGCACCCCGCGAGCCAGGTCTCAGTCAGGACGAACCCTCTGAGCGCTGAGCCCCGGGCCACCCCAGTGCAAACCGCGTTGCTCCGTGTTGACAGAGCAACGCCTTCCTCCGAATCCTTTCTTTTGTGGTTATCACCATCAATGTTTTAGGAAAGTAAGACTGATATTTACTAAGAAATAATGCTGTTGATGTCTCGATCCTCCAGCCCCTCTCTCGAGGAGCACCTGGCCTGGCCAGCTGGAGCTGCACACACTGCAGGGACCATCAGAACATCTTCAGGATGGCCTAGCCCTCGCTCCTGGGGCCTCCGTGCTAGCCCAGGGCCAGCCTTGGCTCATGGATTCTTATAAACTAAACACATACTTACCCCACAATCCAACAACTGTATTCTTGGACATTTATCTCAGAAATGAAAACTGATCACCCAAAACATTTACATGAATGTTCTTATGCACTTTTTAGCAACAGCCTGAAACTAGAAACTTCCCAAATGGCCTACAGGGAGTGAATGGTGAAACAAACTGTAGTATGTCCAAAGAGGGAATGCTACGCAGCAATGAACAGGAACTAAGTATTAATACATATAACAACTTGATGGTGCTCAAGAACATTATGCTGAGTTAATAATATAGCATGTGTGAGTGTTGTTTTTTTTTTTTTAAAGCGTGACACAGGAGATTCTTATAATAGAACTGTTCTATATTTTGACTTGGGCAGTGGTTGCCTCATTGATCAACCCATGTAACAAAAATACGTACACACAAACATACTCACACACTGACATACACATACATGGAGGACATAACAAGCTGGTGGACTGTGTCAATGTTCACTAATTTTCTTGTTGTGAGATTGTCTATAGTTAGTTACATAAGAGGTTGCTGTTGGGGGAAACTGGGTGTAGAGAATCTCTGTATCATTTCCTACAATGGCATGTATATGTGCAATCACCTCAAAGTAAGCTTTTAGAAACCTAAGAATATTTCTTTTTTGAAAACCTGAAGTTTTGGGGCTGGGGATTTAGCTCAGCGGCAAAAGCGCCTGCCTGGCAAGCGCAAGGTCGTGAGTTCAGTTCCCGGTACGAGGAAAAAAAAAAAAAAAAAAAAAAAAAAAAAAAAACCTGAAGTTTTAATTGCCAGATCCAAGTTTTGTTGACAATCAAAGGACTCGTGAGTTCTAAGGGCCAAAGTTAGGCTTTGAGAGCCCTGCATTTCACTAAGCAACAAGCAAGCACTGCTTGCTTTGTAGATGGAGAAGCTGCAGCTGTTCCCCCACTACAGGGAAAGGCTGGAGAGAGAATTGAAGAAAGGAGTCAGAAGTAATGAGCGTCTCTGAGAGATCACACCCTCAGAGGGGAATGAAGCCAGGCAGCCTTGAGCAAATGTTCTCTCACAGCAGGACACATTTCCCGTTCTTCTTCTGGCCTGGAGCCCTACATGCAGACACCCTGCAGAGGTTCCTCATCAATTTTCTGGACACAACAAGGCACAATGGAGAGACAGGGAAGGTTACCTCTTGCCCACTGGTACTAGTGGGGCTTGGAAGGGTCTAGGAAATCCCCCCAAGGCCCTTTGAGAGGGTAGGGGGATCTCATATTCACATACCCACCAGGGGTGGCTGTGACCCTTAGACCCACTGGACTAAGGAATGCCTAGGAGATTAGAAAAGCAGGCTCCTGGGTGTCTGGTGGGTCATGGAGCAGGGGCCTTGGGTCTTCCCTTCCTCTCTCATACTGTTCCTCTGCTGTGCTTCCTGGCTGCCATGAATTGAGCAGCTTTGTTCTGCCACACCCTTCCACCATGATGTCTCTGCCTTGGGGCCAGCTGACCATGGCATCCTCTGAAACTGTGAGCCCAGTTAAACCTCTCCTCCTTTAAACTATGTCAGGTATTGCGTCTCAGCAATGAGAAAGCTGACTAATACAGTGGCCAACAGACACGGAAACCTGTGGCAGAGATCAGTACAGCAGCAGAATCCAGGATCAGTACAGGAGCAGAATCCACGAGCGTGGCAGGGGGAAAGGTCAGCCCTGCTTTCTGGGTCCTACCACTGGGCACAGCTCCTGGTGGGCTGGGTGAACATGCACATACACATGTACTCCTATGTCCATGTGAAGCCAGAAAAAGACCACAGAAGGAAGCCAGAGTGCAGACAGGCACCCAGCAGCCCAGAGACGTCCCTACCCCAACCCAGAGGTGGCCTAAGGAGAAGATACAGGAAGAAGGGAGGTCTTGCTTTGGCACTGTGCTGCCCAGCTGAGCTAATTACTCCTGATTAGTAATATTCCTCTTGGCTCCCCCTCCCAGCAGCTGGTGGTATGGCACGCCGTGCTCACCTGCTTGGACACTTTGGCCCAGGTTTTCTTCAGCCTATAGATGGCACTTCTGTTTAAGGCTGAGGTGATCTCTAGCACGCCGTTGTAGTTGTGCAGGCATCGGCAAATGTCTGCCACTGCCACCCACTTCTCAATGGCGTTGGCGCGGGAGCTGACGTCAGCGTAGTTCATGATCTGGGAGGCCACCAGGTTACTCATCTGTGACAACCAAAGAGACCAGGAAGGCTGTGCAGGCGCCAAAGCAATGCAGCTAGACAAAACACGGGAATTAGCCACTAGTGGGAAAGCAGGGTGTCCGGTACTGTGGAGATTATAGTCTGTGTTTAGACATCAACTTTCTAAAGAGATTAAGATCTGTAATGACAGTAACTGTTCATTCTTTGACTGGGGGCAGCACTCTGCAATCCAGCTTATTGGGAGGAAAGCTGATTTTGCTAATGGGTACGCTTGATGCAGCAGTTATTGGCAATAATCATGGAGGAAATGGGATGGTTATTACCCAGCTCCCGAGGAAAGGCAATGCTTGGTAATCCAGGTGTCACTTCTTAGGGACACACACTTCTTGGTTCACAACAGTGTGTGGATCTACATTCTGGGAACCCCAGTTACCATGGAGAAGGAAAACACACTTATCCCTCAGGCAGGACAAACACTAAGCTGATCCGGTCTCCAGCCAGAGGCACTGAGCAAAGAGAGCACTTGCTTCCTCTTGTGATTTGTCCCCAGCAGCTAAGAGGACCCACTGCTAAGTCCTGTAATTCTCTTAGGGCCAGCATAAAATGCTCACGTCCTGCAATGTGGAAGGGACAGGGGAAGAACAGGATGTGAACAGAGGGATGGGGCCATGTGACCCTGTGTCATACACTGCAGGGACACTTTGCTCTTCGGTGATCTGCGATACAAAGCTCTCCCAGCACTTCCAAGTCAGCACCGTGAACACTGCTACAGCACCTGCCATGGAGCCATTCACTGAGCTCCGGTCACCTTCGCATGAATCAGGGATCATTTCGACTCCGGCTTGTTGGGCACAGAGGGGAGTTTTTCAGTCAGTGACCTGGATGAAGTTATTGCTAATCCTTACTGAGGATGTGCAGAACCAGCCTTTCGGGTGGTGGGAATAGAAAGACTGTGGGCTGCGGGGGAGATCTCAGTCTGTGCTCACTAGTGCATCAGTTCTGGGTAGAAGGCAGGTGTGGAGCTGCTTTCTTTTAGAGAAGGGTTCTTAAGAGCCCACACTCATCTACCCGAGCCCCGGCCGCAGGAGCCCCGGCACTCACGTCGTTGAAGTGCCGGCTGGTCTTCATGATGAATGGAGTCCTCTCACTCTTGTCCGGCTTCATCCATCCCTGCCCCAGAAACTCCCTGAAAGATCGAAGCACAACACAGACCCGTTAGGTCTGAGGTGGGCATGGCCATGGTCCATGCTGCCTGGGAGGCCACCTGCCACCTACCGCTCCAGACCCACTCTGGGGACTCCAGGGATGCCAGCACCCACCTCGCATGTGGAGCACCTGTCACTCCCCAGCTTTCTCCCCTATAAAATGTGTGGAACTTGTCCCAATCCAGGCTTCTCTGAAGTGGGAAACTTCTAAAGTGGGAAACCACCAACAGAAAAGAAGTAAGCCCAGTAGTAACTCAGAAAATAAGACTATTCCATGGATTCGCTTCTTTTAAATGTTAAACTCAGCACAGGGCCCCCCAAAACCCATCACAACCAGGAATGTTAATGGGGAGCGAAGCAGGTCCATCCACATTGCCCTGAGCTATCTGGACACAGTTCCCAGGGAGGACTTGGTTCTCCCCGGAGCTGGGATAGTGTCCACGGCCAGGGCCCAATGAACTCTCCATGTGACACTGTCACAGCACGGTCCTCTGACAGAGGTGGGCATGAGGGCTCAGGCTGGCCAGGGGTCATCTTCAGAACAGCGTCCTGGGTCAACACTCATTCCTAGCAGCTCACAGAGTCCCAACAGGTGAGGAAGTGACCATCCAGATGGAGTCAGTCTGCATGGGCATTTATAAAGAAGCAGCTTGGCCGGGCGTGGTGGCACACACCTGTAATCCCAGCACTCAGGAGGCTGAGGCAGGAGGATCGTTGCAAGTTTGAGACCAGCCTGGGCTACAAAGTGAGCTCAAGGCCAGCCTGAACTGCATAGTGAGACCCTGTCTCAAAAAGACAAAAAAATAAAATAAAGAAGCAGCTTGACGCAGGGTCACTGTGCTGCTCCTTCACACCCGCACGCTGCCAGTGTCCTTGTGCGAAGCCCTCCGGTCCTTGCTGTCGCTGCTCTGGTGTTTTGGTGTTGGACACAGAGCTGCCCAGGTCCACAGGTGGAAATAACGGGACACAGAGGAGCAGGGGCGTCCCGGGCAGGGACCTCACCGAGGGAACCAGCAAGGCTCCGGGTCGGCTGCTCTCCGTCTCTAGGAGCCCAAGCCCCTTCCTCACGTGCCAGGGCCAGTGGGCAGTGGCGAATGGCAGCCTCAACCACACCTCCCAGAATCAGGCTTTCCAACACGTATCTGGGAATGGACATTTTTCACAAGCTTTCGGCACCCTGATGCTTGAGATCCACTCTTGTTGGGGCTTGTGACCAGAAGGCCGGGGACAGGGTGATTCACACTCCATGGTAAGGAAAACAGACACATCTGAGAGTCTGCTGGTCGACACCCCCAACACAAACTGTAGCCACGGAGCATCCAAGTAGGGCAAAAACACTTAGGATTGGGACACACAGCTGAGCATGCTGGTGTACACTTGTAACTCCAAACACCCGGCGAGGCTGAGGCAGGACGATCACAAGTTTGAGCCTGGTCTGGGCACTTTAGCAACTTAGTGAGACCCTGATTCTAAATGAAAAATAAAGGGCTGCAGGTGACTCAGTGCAAAGGCCTTAGAGTCAATCCCCAGCACCGTACAAGATAACAATAATAAAGAAATAATAAAAAGATGCCTCTGCCTAGGCAGATGCACACACACATATGCACACACACATACACACACACGTCTGCCTTGGCAATACAATGGCAGTGTCCAGGGCAGCCATGGCAGCCAAGCCTGCAACGTGAGGGCCGCACTCACTCACTCACTCGTAGGGGATGCTTCTGAAGACGATGTGGTCCAGCAGCGTGATCTGCTCTGCCAGCTCCATGGCAGACAAGCTCTCGAAGCACTCGGCCTTCGGACAGTCAGTCTGCAACACAGGGCCCAGGGAGGTGGCTGTGCCAGCTGGGACCAGCCGCCCCTCCCTGCAGATCGGGAGGCAGAGAGCACATCAGTGGTGGCACAGAGCCTGTCCCTAGACTCCAGCCATGAAACGCAGTGCAGGAAGCTCAAAAACATCAAAGCCAACATTAATCACAGAGGTCCATTGCCAGGGCACAGCCTGAACGTGGTTCCCCAGACAGAGCCTGGTAGATGCACACAGGGTCACCGGGCATGACAGGTCACAGGGAATGTGAGACTGTGGGGTGCAGCAGCGCTGGGCTTACCGTCTGAATGATGTCCTCTAACTGCAGGTGGATGTCATCCTGATCCTCTTGGGACAGCGCCCTACAAAGAAGCCAAATAGCCTAGATCAGTGGTGGCGAACCTCCGGCACATGTGCCACAGCAGGCTGTTTGTTATCACTGAAAGCTCCAGAAGGTTCGCCATCACTGGCCAAGGTGTAGAAAAGAAAATTCTCACTTCTCAGGAAAGAGAATGTAGGGGCTTCCTTGGGTGTAAGGGAGTCTGGGGCTCAGGTCTGGGAGGAGCGAGGGTATAGATTGCAGTTGGGGCTGAACTAGGGCAGTGATCGATTATCAAAGAGCATGGAATAAAACAAGGGACCAGTAGAAGACTGAGTCTTGAACTTAGAGTTCAGAGCCACCTGTGTGTGTGTACTCAGAGCCAGCTGTAACAAAGCCACCTGTCAGTGGGAGGCTGAGCAGGTCGGGTGCACTGTCCTGCAGGCCACCTAGAACTTGAGTCCATGCAGCCCTGAGGATGTCCTGGCAGTGGTCACCCTCTCCCATTCCTTGCATGTCACCACTTCCAGGTCTAGGTAGACCAGAAGCCCAGAGCACTTCCTGCCTGATAAAGCTCCCTCTGCTGGCTGTTTGAGTAACCCACATACACAGTGTTGGTCAGCTTTGAGTTTTCTGGATAAATGATAAATGAAAAAATAGATAATATATAATAAATAATATGTTAATAAATTAACACTTAGGATACCAGCTTCAAAATGGGAGGGTATTTTCTGTCTAACAGAAGTTCAAAGTCCAGGAGAACCATAATGAGGGGGCATCCAATTTTATACTTTGCCCTTTGGGCCAGCAGTGTGTGTGTGTGTGTGTGTGTGTGTGTGTGTGTACTAGAGCTTGAACTCAGGGTCTTCATGCTGAGCTACATCTCCAGCCCTTTTTTATTTTTATTTCAAGACAAGGTCTTGCTAATTGCCCAGGCTAGGTTCAAATTTGAGATCTTAGCCTCCCAGGATGCTGGGATTACAGGCATATGTGACTATGGACCAAGTACTTTAGGTTTACCCAAAGTTATAAGCAAATATTAAAACATGCAAACAGTCCAAACCAGACAGCCATTCTGTTCTGGAGGTCAAAATTCTAATATGGGTCAGCCAAGCTGTACTCCTGAGCCCAGAGAGAAGGCTTGTCCTTTGCCTCTGAAGTTTTCAGAGGATGCCTGCATTTGGAGACCTGGGGCCTCTTCGGGGAAAGGTAGTTTTAAAAGAAGTAATGAAAGTGGGTGTGGTGATCCCCGGCACTCTGGAAGGCTGAGTCAGGAGGACTACAATCTCAAACCCAGCCTGGGAAATGCAGTAACTGAGAAAGACCCTGTCTCAAAATAAAAAAGTAAAAAGGGCAAGGATGCATCCAGTATGAAGGCCATCCAATCCTCACAAAAAGGAGAAAAAGGAAGAGGAGGAGGAAGAGGAGGAAGAAGTGGTACAGATGTGTGTTATGGTTTGTGTCTGGATGAACCCCCAAAGCCTCATGCAGTCATGGGGTTGGCTTCTAGAGTTTATGATTGATTCATGGGTGTGAGTGCTACACCTGCCCTGGGGCAGACAGTTTGCATATGTAAGGGAGAGAAAGAGGCTGCTTGCCACCACTCCTCCCTTTTGCTCTTGCTGCTTTTGCTGTCTTCCACTGCCATGAACTGTTGCCCTCTGTCGTGAGCCACTGTGCCTTGGAACTAGCCAAGTATGGACTGAAATCTCTACAAACTGTGAGCTAAATAAACCTTTCCTTCCCTAATTTCGGGCATTGGCTATTTTGCCTCAGCAACGAGAGAAAAGTAACCAAGACATTGTGATTCTCTGTTGTGCTAAGCACTGCAACAAGCACGATCCTCAAACACAGGTCCACAGTGAGCACTGGCTGTCTTTCCAGCCCATGCCGGGCATGTGTGGGTCTCACACAGAGCTCAGGACCTGGACAATCGCTTCCAGGCAGGACCCTGGTCTCCATCTCTGCAGAAGGATGCTGACCTGCCCGCACAGGCTGCAGTCCAGTGTGGTCTCCCTGTTCCAGCACCCCACTCACCTGTTGATCACGCACCATGTCACTGGGTTAAAGGGGGCGCTCCCGTGCGGTAAGGAGCACAGCAAGTTGAACTCTGCGCTCCCGTCAAAGCCTACTTGCTTCTGCTTCCGTACAAGGGCTCCCTGCAAGCCGCACAGTGGGGCCCTGCCAAGGGGGTTCTCAGCCTTCCTATGACAGTCTGGGTCCAGAGGGAAGATCTGGGCTACTTCCCTTGGAAAGCAATGCCTAGGAGGTGAGTCCGCCCTCCTGAAGTTGCTCCCGCACCTGTCTGCCTCATCCTCGGGGTGCACACTGGGCTGGCATCTCCTGTCTTCTCAGGGCTTTGGGGTTTTGGAGCTTGGGGTGACCTTCATGTGACCTGAGCCCACCACCGCTGACCCCCAAGGAAGTGAAGCACTTTAACTCTAGCCGTATTAGGTATCTACAAAAATTCTCTACGCGGGTAGATTTTGGAGACAGCTAGCTGGACAACTTTGGAGAGATGGCATTTTAGAGACGGGAAGTCTCAAGCAGAGGATTTTTAGCACAAAGCAGGTGACAATGTATGTTCACCAGTAAGATCAGTGCCTGAGAGGCTGAGGCAGGCTGCTCACCACAGCCAGCTTCTCCTTTAACCTGTTAATGCGATGTATGCTTAAGCCCAGGTTTGCTACTTACATCACAGGGGCCTAAGACGGGAGGCACAAAGCTCCTGTGTCAGGTGACATTAACTACCTGAGGAGTCACGTGTAGGAAATGGAGGCGCCTTGAGGCCACAATGTTAAGTGAAATAAATCAGACACATGAGCTTCAATATTACATGATTTCTCTTATATGAAAAAGTTTAAATAAAAAGGAAAGGGAATGACAGATCATAGGAAACAGGGAGACAGATCTTTTGCAAATGGAAAGGAGACTGAGAGATGGAGAGGGAGGGTTAGAGGATGCAAGAAGAATGAAGGTGTGCTGCGCCTGCGCACCAACTCCCCACGATGCACGAAATCATGCACTATAGACACAGACTGACACAAAATTCAAAGACCAGCAACTGTATGATGGTATGTCATCCTCTCACATGGCGGCACCTGTGCTCACCAGGTGGCAGGTTCACAAGTACCCCTTCACAGCTGGCACCTTCTAGCCCTAGTCCAGCCCTGTGGAGGACAGATTTGCTCCTCCCCGCCTGGCTCCTCGGGGTTGTGGCAAGTACACCAGGGTCTCCCCTGTCCTTCATCTATAAGCTGTGCAATCAGTTTCATAACTGTGCAGTTGCAATGAGACACCAAATAAAGTTCAAAAGGAATGGGATTACCTATCTATGAAGGAAGGTCCTCCTTCAGGGATACAGGGTTGTCTAACAAGACAGTCAAAGAGCTGCCCCCCAACCTGAAGTTGGTCTTCTCTCTGCATGGGCAGCAGAAAAGCTGAGTGTGGCCAAGATCTTCCTTGGTGGCTTTGGACCATAGCAGCTCAGTGACTGAAACTCTTTCCTAAGTTATCTCAGGGCTTCTAGTTCTCCTCCCAGTAATCGCTGTCCTGCAAGTGCTGACTATGCTTCAGGTGCTGTGCTGACCTCCACACTGCAACAGGGCATGTGGTCATCACAACAACCTCGTGAGGTAGATACCACCAACCCCACTGTACAGATGAGAGACTGAGGCTCAGGCTGGCAAAGAAACCTGGCAGCTCAGAGTGGCTGAGCCGAGACTTAGGCCCATGACATTCTGCAAGAGTCAGAATCAGGTCTGCTCAGTGTGGCCCTCCACGGCTGTCTGTCTACTGTAATGGTTGATGCATTGTGTCAGCTTGAGAAGTTTAGAAACTTAACTGAATAACTTAGGAGTTCTATGTCTTAGGGTATAGAGGGCGGTCCTGTAGGGCAGCTGTTTACACCCTAGGACGTTATGATGATTGATTCACTGTGTCAACTTCAGAAGTTTAGAAGTTTAACTAAGCAACTCAGTAGGGGGCCAAGGTCCTCACTTTGTAAACATCCTCATTCTGTGAAAGAGGAGGGCACAGAGATGGTGTTAATGCTGCACCCACCCCTAGGGCAGGTAGTCTGCTTACAATATAAGGGAGGAAAATAGGCTTGTCCCCTCTCCTTGTGCTCTTGCTGCTTTTGCTGTCTTCTGCTGTCTTGAACTGTTGCCCCTCACCATGCCACCCTGCCTTGGAGCCAGCCCATTACGGACCGAAACCACCACAAACTGTGAGCTAAAAAAACCTTTCCTTCCCTAATTTTGGGTGTTGGGTAGTTTGTCTCAGCAATGAGAGAAGTAACTACCACATCTATGAAATGTCCACTCCCAGGAGCTTTATGTTTCTGTATGCTGGCTCATTAAAACGGGGTCACTCGGCAAACAGCATTGGCACACTTGAAGCCCAATGGGTAACAGAGATACGAGTGGTAAACAAGCTTCATTCTAAGCACAAATCCCAGGTGGCTGCTTTCTGCGGTCACCTCTTGGTGCAGACGGAAGTCTCCCAGGGTGGATCAGTAGGGCCTGGCAGAGAGTCTCACTGCACCAGCCAATCCTCACTCCTTTCCCGGCCTGGATGCCCGCATGTCCCTGACAGCTACCTAGTCAAATGTGCCTAAGGTACAAAACTCCACGAGGATGCGGGTCACCAGCCTGGATGCTGGGAGTGACAACTAAATCCAGATGGCCCTCACCTCAGGATGTTCGCCGTGGCTTTCCTCTCCTGGGGAAGCAGGTCTGGGTCTCGTAAAACTTCTTCTAGCAGGTTTAGCACATTCATCTTTAGCTCATTGTTGAGTTCAAAATCCTACAAAAGAGAACGAATCTTTTAAAGATGTTACATTCTAAAGGCTTCACTCTGTGAATGTGACACCATTCCTCATGGTGAGTTCTCTGGAAGGTGGATGCAGGGAGTAATGTGTGGACACTAGAGCCCCACACCCAGCCTGGGACCCTGAGTGAAAAGCTGGGATAGCCTGGCTCCTAGCATTTCTGGCTGCATCCCCAGGTGATGACAATGTGCAGGTTGAGATTTTCTGCTTTTGGGATGACATTTGGCAGGGTCCTTACCGGACAACACAAGATCCCAGCCAGCACTCCCAGCCTCTTCTCTCCCCATAGTCTCCCAGCATGTGCGCACACAAGTACACACACACACACACACACACACACACACACAAGCACACTGTCCCAGACTTAACAACTTCCTCAGTTCCCCAGGGAAATGTACTTCCCTGGCCTGGAACCCTATGTCTCCTCCCCACAGACAAGGAGTGATCAAAAGTACAAAGAATGTTTACATTTTTGAAAATGACTGCACTAAAATACACACTGCCACAAACTCCTCTCAAAGTCTCCTCCCCTGCTTGCTTTGAGCACATTTATCCCAGGGTTCCTGCCGCTTTTCACAGCAGCCCTGGAAGTCCTCTTCTCTGAGTGTCTTTAGTTGCACTGTACTGAGTCCATTGAAAACATTTCCCTTTCCTGGTCCTTTTGACATGGGGGAGAGTTGGAAGTTGCATGGTGCCAGATCCACAGAATAAAGTAGAGTAGGACGCTGTGTGAGCTCCCCGTCCCTTGGATGGTGCTCAGCTGCAGCATTAACCGTATTGTTTTTATCACACTTGTAGAGACACTAAGGAGAGATGACTTTAGAGTGGCTTCAGAAAGTGACCAGGACAATGGATAAGTGTGTTCAAAGCAAGGTGGGGTGCTCTAAGCGGGGGTTCATGAGAGCATTTCCCTCATGCTTCTATGGAACATGCAACTTGCTCCTATCCGAATTTACAGCAGGGCCAATAGAATTGCCTGGTCTTCCAGGCAATTGTTAGGGAGAGTATGGCAAACATCATCTGAACCAAGGAATAGGCTAGACCAACATCATGCAACCACAAATGCAGAGCTCTCAAAGGTGGAACCTCACTCCTTCCCGTTCCCGCCCCAAATGCATAACCTCAATCAGATTTCCAGGAAGCAGTGACCTGTACACTCCGAAAATGTGAATGCCTTGAAAGACAAAGAAAAACTGAGGAACTGTCCCAGTTGAAAGAACACCACCGGACAGCAGGCAAATGCAGTATATGAAGCTGGATTCACCCAGGGCCTGGGAGGAAATGCTATGAGAAGCCCTCACTGTGACAGCGGCCAGCAGGGACTTGGGACTCTGCCCTAGGAGAGAGCATCATGCAGCTCTGAGCTTTCGGGTCTGCTCGCTTCCCTGCTTGTTGGAGACCACTACAAAGTGGCTCTGAGCAGGATTTAATATTAACCAATTGGCTTTCCGTGTTTACCTGCAAGTTGTCCAAAGCTTAGGCACCTTGTCTAGGGATGGGCCGTGGACTCATAGTAAGTAAACCTCTGTGAGTCACTGGCTACCCTGAGGCTTGTATTGGACTGTGAAGCCTCAAAGGACAAGATAAGGCCACAGCTGAGGACGTCTGGCTCCAACCCAAATTAACTACAAGAAGACTGCACCTGCACTCCTGAGGTGAAGGCCTTCCTGGAGATATAACATAGTTCTCCTAAATTAACATAATGTATTACTTGGAGAAGTTCTTAAAGGGTTTCCTAAGTCCTGCCCAGATTCCCATGTTTTCTTGAGTATCCCCCTCCTTTGTAAAGCAAATAAGTACGGGCTGCCCAGAAAAGTCTTTGTCTAAACCCAGAGAATATCGAAGCTGTAAGAGAGTTAGATCCTCCCGGACCCCTGAAATCATTTCCACTGTCTCATTTATTTAAGCCTTCACCGCCCACTCACTTGGGAGATCGCGGGCCTGATCAGCCTGCAATAACTAAGGGTTATTTAACCCGATACCTGCTGACCACACAAGAGTGGGTCCTGCCCCTAGCGGGGGTGTGGTGAGTGTAAGCACATCCCAAAGAGCCATTCCAGCTGTGCACTAGAGAACTGCATTTTATTTTGGCAGTTTTCTCTTGATCGATTTGAAATTTTTCAAGGTAAAATGTTATGGGCAAAGAATCAAAAGGCAGAGTGTGGCTCTTGCCCTCCTTCATTAAATACATCCTTACAAAGCATCTCTAGGGACCGTCAGGCATCCAGAGCTTCCATCCAGCCCACAAGCAAGGGTCTTCCCGACAGCCCAGCGCCAACATACAAGGGCACAGGTGTTTATCTCCACCCATGCGCATGCATGATGACCACCGCGATGCATTTGATCATGATGGTCACATTACTGTATTCCTGACTTCTGAATTCTTATCATTATATTTTAACCTTAAGCAATTTTGAACCATTGATATTCTGAATTCTTTTAAATGGTTGCCGAGAACCCTGCTCTGTGCAATGCATCAGATAAGAAACAGCGTAATTTTACTCTATCTCATCAGCGAGGGGCAGGAGGGCCTTAACTTCACAAGTTATAGATGACACAACTTTGAGTGGAGAATTTTCACCACCAGTTTGATGACAAATTGCACCCTAATTCTCAATACTTCACTTATGCTGTGTGACAAAAGCACCCTTTCTTGGGATTAGGTAGGAGACGTGGGGCACCGGGGGAGGGGCAACACAAAAGTGAACAGCTCTTCTCCATCCTAGCCCTTCAGATGATGTGTGTCTTAGTCACTTTCTTCTCACTGGGACACAACACCCCACACCCCCACTTTAAGGGAGGGGAGATTTATGGGGCTCACATTTCAGTCCATCATAGGTGGCTACACAGCAGGAGGTGTGGCAGAAGACAGCTGCTCACTGCATGGCGAACAGGAAGCAGGGAGGGAAGGGAGGAGCTGCGGAGGAGATGGACTCTTCCGGGCCTCACCCCAGTGACCAGACCGCGCCTCCCAACAGCAAGCCAGCTGTACAGCCCCAACCCAACCACGTTCCACCTCACCTCTGAGGGCGCGAGGCTTCGGGGGCTCCAGACAGAACCTGTGACCGCATGTGTTCCTGAAATTTCACCTGTTTATTGTCTAACAGCTTCCTGACTCTCAAGTCCATGCAAGAAGACAGTCATCTTTTGCTGCTGCTCTCCCCCACCCCTGCCCCACTTCAAGGTGTTAATGATTGCCCCTCCCCAGCTCTGTCCGCACTACCGAAGGGGCACTTGGCCTGTAGGAGTCTGTTTCCTTAATGAGTATTTGGTACACCGACTCCTGGGGTATTTCCCTCGCATCTCTAACGATGCACATAATCTGAGGATCACAGACCACATGATTAGTGTGAAGGACCTCGGGCCCCTGTCCGGGCCTTGCTGAGGGTAATTAGTGCTTTAATCCACAAGCATCGCTGGGCACCTGCTGGGTCCCATCCTGGGCTTCCTGGAGGTGCAGGGGAGGCTTCTGGGGGAAGTAGGGAAGGTTCTGTTTAGCAAAACAGGGCACCTTATTATCCTGAGCTCCAGGAAGACTGCATGGGGAGGCCCTCTGCAGGACTTGGTGATGTCTGTCAGCTGCTGACACAAGGCAGAGTCTGACAGTGGGAGATCCGCAAGTTCTTTGCGTGGGTGGGAAGTGACCTTCTGGGTGTGGCTACGACTCCTCCTCAAGGTTACTCAGTGGCAAACAAGGTTACCCAGCGCCCAGCACCGCAGGGACCCTCTGCACACCTGGTCCACTCGGGCCAGCGGTGGTGACCAGGGGGGTGGAGATTAGATGTGCAAGGGAACAGTGTGCAGGGACGGGGACACTCGTCTGCCCTCCAGCTCCTGTCTCCCGTGTCCCAGACTGCCTCAAGATCAAATGTGGATTATAATTCCACAGGTCTGGAGGGGGACTGGAACCCTGTGTCTACAGTGGGCTATTCTCGTGGTCCAGGGACCATGTTCTGAGCAGTAAGGCTTACACCACTTTTTTATAAGTCACACAATAAACCCTCAAAAAAATCCTGAACCCTCTGATAAATACAGATAAAACTGGGCACAGTCTAACTATACAGTGAATGTTAAATAAAAAGTTTCATTACACTGAGGCACACTGGGAGAATACCCCTTAGAATCCTTGCCCTCAATTTGAACACACCCATCCCATCATCCTCGCCACTTTCTGCAGCAGCTCTGGAGTCTTCTTTCCTGAATGTTTTTATGAAGTGGGATAAAAAATACAGTGAATGCTGCTGCCCAGCACCCCCAACAGGAAGGCAGGTTTATAACAGCATGACGCTGTGTGCTCACCATCTTATGCATAGGACCTGGCACCCTGAGACTTCTAGGTCTCCTTCCAAGCCAAAATGACCAGGAAAGGGAAATGTTTTGAGTGGATTCCAAACATCAAGGCCAGGACAGGGAACTCAAGACCCTCAGGAAAGGGGACATGCAGAGCTGCTTCAGCAAGAGGCAAGAACTAGGGATACCTGTGTTCCAAGTGAGAGGAGGATTTTGAGGGGGACTCATGACAATGTGTCTTTTCCTGTAAATAAAGATTTAAAAATTTTAAGTATCATTTTTCAATCACACCTTGTATAGCTGCTTCTTAACAGCAAAAAAAAAAAAATCTGAGGCCAGAAAAGACATTTGCCCTGTTGGCTGCACGGGTAATCTGTGCGCTGAACGTCCTACTGAATCCTCTGTAATTGTCTGCATGCTAAGTAGGGCTCATTTCTCCAGCCTCCGCGGTGGTGCCAGGAGACGCCCAGCAGGTGGCACTGTGAGTCTGGCCGCAGAGGCGCAGCCCCGCGCGGAGACACCCAGGCCTGGTGAAGTCACCTCTGCAAGGGGTGAACCCGGCTGCTTTCCTGTCCCTGGAGCGAGGCTGAGGACAGAGAACAGCAAAAGAAAGCTCAGAGGTCCGAGGGTGGCACAGTCTGGGACGATTTCCCACCTGGCCCCAGAGCTTGAATCTGGGCGATCG